TCTCTCTCTCTCTCTTAAAAATAAATAAATAAATAAATAGTTATTTGCATTGTAAAAAAAGAAAAAGTAGGATCTGCACACTTCAAATTGTGAACAGTCTCTTGAAGTTCTTTTTAGAACAAAGTGAGTTGTAAACTCCACCTTGACTCATTCCCTTTTTCCTTCTCCCACCATGAGCCTATAAACAGCATGTCTCCAGGGAAAGAATATGGACCATGTAATGCATAAAGAAACTTATGTTTTTAACTGGGCTTTTGAAAAACAGAAGAAAGGAGGGAAGACAGGCAGGAAGGAAGGAAGAAGAAAGAGAAAGAGGGGGAGACACACGGTCACCCACAAGTTGAGGCCACGGCTCCACCACACAAAGAAAAGCCCAGGCGGCTACCATCCATCTGCCTTTTGCTTTCCTACTTTGAACAAGTCGTTTATTTTCTTCTCTCTTGCAGGACCATGTGTCACAGGCATTAAGCCTGCAGCTGCCGCCTCTCACATAAGCCAGAAGTGGGGGCTGAACTTTGTTTCAGGAACACACCTGTTGCCCAGGGGAAAAAAAAAAGCCCTCACATACCTGATTGTACTGTACGGAAATCTGAGAATGACACAAATGGGCATCATCTTAAATAAATCCTGTCCCTGGGCTGAGAAGCTATTCCACAGACACGAATAATGAATGAGGGCCGCCAGGCTATGATTTAACGTCTGTCTCCATGTGTTGGCTCCTGGTCTGGCTTCATTTACCCAACACTCAATAGTCCATTGACAAGGGACCACAAGAAAGGGGGAGCTAATAGCTACAATTAGGAAGCTCCACTAAACCGGAGGACAGAGCAGGTTTAGGAAAGATTAGATCTCCTGAAGCTTTCTTGTACGCAGCACACACCAAAGGGCTTATTTCAATCACTCCTCAACCCGGCAACACCCACGCAGCTTACACTTTTTAATAGGAAAGAAGAAACAATGCATAATTTTGTAATAAATGTTTATGGTAAATACAGTCCTTAATATTAAAAGAAAAGTTCTCTAGATAATGGGAGCACATAATACCAAGTGCTTGGCTGGGCACTGTTTATCCACAAATGGACTGATACTTTTTTTTTTTTTAACAAAGCTCTTCTACTGTTATTTCCGGTATATGAAACAATCTCAGTTCTGTTTCTGAGTGGTTTGACAATTATGAAGCAGCTGCAGATCATAGCTCCTCCTAACCTTCCTTTTGGAAGGTTCGTGGACTTTACATTTGGAATGTCTCTAGGGGTTCGGAATGTTTATTTCCTGTTCTTGATTAAAATGGGTTTTTAAAAAATTCTTATTGTTTCATGAAACGAGAGAGTTTGAACAAAAGGGCAGTACAACTCAACTAAGCAGAGCACACATTTAGCATATGACTAAAGGACACACCGTATGATACGACGTCCTTTAAAGGATGAATCTTCTCAGGTGGTTTCCAGCCACCCTTCGGATGACTCATAGTGACCCTGGATGTGCCTGGTCTGTACCATCTATTTAAATCACCTACAAAACGTTTTGTTTTTTTTGTGCTGTGCTGGTTGGGTAATGAATTTGAGGAGTGGCACAGGGAGCCCTGTGTGTCCCCCTGACCAGCACCGGCGGGTCCAGGTCCGATTGTCCAGCTGGCCTGACTCCTGCATCAAGAGCAAGATCATAATTGCTGCTTAGTGAGAAGGACGATGGCACTGGCAAGAGCCTCCTCTGGCTCTCACTGCCTGAGCCCTTTGTGAGGGTCCGAGTTTTCAAGGAAGCCCTTGGAAATGGTCCACTTGTCAATCACTCCCCCTTCCCCCACTCTGCCCCCGCCCGCCTGCCTTCTTGCCCACATCCCTTCCTCCCTTCCTTCCCGCTTCATCCTTCCCTTCCTTTCCCTGGTCACTCTGTCTTTCTGTCTTTCTGGGGACTGGACTAGTTAGGTGATGGCGGCGACGGGTTGAGAGTGGCAGAGCTAGGGATCTGGTCTCCAGAGTTCCATCCATGACGTTGACACTGCCAACCTTCACCCGCTGGGCAGCTGTGTCTCCCCCCACCCCGTGTGGGTAACTGGATCCCTCGTGGGCATGAGCTGGCCCTGGCCTGCCTCCCTCTCCACCCACTCTTTCTGTGCAGTGAGGAAGGAGGAACAGACTGGGGACAGGTGGAAGCTGACGTACCCAGTGACTGGTGCACGTCTTCAGCATGGTGCTGAGTGAGGGCAGGGAGATCGCTGACCTCCAGGACAGAGTCCCTTGCACCTGACCTCAGCCTGGCCATTACTCACAGTGCTGTTGGCACTAAATCTGCAGAATTCAGAAAGGTCATGGAGAGATGGACCTTGGGTATCGTCTCTTCCCAAGAACATGAAAGACGGAGCACTGAACACGTCCTTTGCTACCAAATGTGTTCTGACTCACAGCCCAGGTCCTGCTAAGCCGTTGTCCTCAGCTGAGCATCGCTGTGGTGAGCTTGTCATTTGAGGAAGCCTGGCTTTAGAGTATATCATCCCCACCTCTCATGGGGTG